GCAGTCTATTAGCAAGAAAGCATAAAAATGTTTTGCATATTTTAGACACAAATTTAGAACATCATTTAACATTCTTTTTTCTTAAATCGATATATTTATACCAAAAGGCGGGCGTCATGATAATTATCGTTAACCCTTTAGTGGACTTCAGGCTTCGCAGAGGGGAAGGAACATCAAAATGAAAAAAGTCCAAAGAGGGTGAAACAGAAGAGTGTTTCAAAGATGTTAAAGAGAGACACAAAGGTAGAAAAAAGGTGGGGTGACCACTGTGGAAGAAGTCGACAATGACATACAGTGGGGTGATGGTAGTTTGAAGTGAGAAGTCAACTGTCGGTTTATAGACTTTTTACCATATGAGTATACATTGACCAGGGAGCACGGCGTGGAAGGTAAGTCTATCGTACACCCCAAATCGATATTACTAGTTCTTAAAATTATCCTTTTTAAATGTCCCATCAGTGCTCTTTCGTAACTTTTACAGTAAGCCCTTTGATGAATTGAACAATTCGTTAAAATTCCACGAGTGATACTCTTTTTTCAATTTTAGAACTGGCGTTTGGCAAACAGCTCTTTGAATGCAACCTGCACAAGCTTTGATAGAAATCTCTCTTTTTAAAATCGGGTTTGGAAGAATGTCAATATTTTGCTTATTTAGAATCTTTTAATAAAATATTATCCCCTATACGAAGGTGGCTTTGAACAAATCTTGACATTTTAGCATTCACATGGAAGATTAGAGCGAATAATAATTGGCTAACAGCACAGGGCATGTATGCGGAAATATCTTTCGTAAAGACAATACATATCTTCGATTATATTTGCTGATTAATAGACAACAAAATGAATTAACTATTTCCCAAAATGTAGAAAACTCTATGAGCTGCTGAGAGTGAAAACAAAACAGTGGTCCTACAATGGATTCCTGGTCACTGTGGCATTAAAGGCAATGAGCTTGCTGATGCACTTGCTAAGAAGGGGACAACGATTTTGCAATGCATGGACCGGCCGATGTCTTTCCACACAATGAAGGCCTTAATCAGGAGAAAATTCCAGACCTCAAGGTGCAACGAACTCAAAGCTCGAACACAGGAGAAACAGTGGACAGTGGCACTCTCTGACATAGCCGAGTGGCCAAGAATCGAAGCCGTTGCTGAGTTTAGACTACGTACCGGACACGATTGCTTGGCAAAACACCTTCACAGATTGGGAGCATACACTCAACCCACATGCCCTCTATGTAACCTACAGGAGGAAACGGAGAAGACCCACCTGATTCGGTGTCCAGCCCTGAAAACAACGACGGAAAGCCAAAGATACTGGGAAGCAAGAAGACTGCTAATGAACTGCTATTAATTAACTGCTATAAATGTACCCCCCCCCCCCCCCCCCCCCNCCCCCCCCCCCCCCACCCTTCTGGGAAGCTGAAGTCAGAGTTTAATGGCTAATGATTAATATCACAAATCCTGCCATTTGAAATAATAATAATAACTATTTCCCAAAATTTAAGTGTCTGTTTAGCACGTAAACCAGACATTGATTATAGCGGTGAATGTTCTTATTTATTTAAATTTTCTTAATTCTGTATTCCAAAATCCAGTTAACTTGACCCAATTTTAGGATTTACTAGTTGAATCACTGCCGATTTTGAAGTAACAGAATAGTTAGTCAGTACTTGTTTAAGGTACATGATTTCTTTGTTATCGAATTAAATATACCAGTTATTCCACTAAATTCGTGAAAAAAAAACCTGTGAGAAACGGTAAAAGAAATGCAAATGTTATAATAGTTAACAATAAAAATAAAAAGGAATCCAAGAAATAGGTCAGTTAATCGGAAAGACTCAATTGAATTGAATTTTTCGGATTCGGTTTGAAAATTTTCACATATAGTTAGCTCACTTCCAAGATTTTAATTTCTTAATTCGTTATCTGGATTGTCGAAGACATCTATATTATTCCGACCAATCGCGCTTCACTACTTTATTTCTACTACCCAACTTTAAGATATTCATTTATTTAGTTATTTTTGTTTATTTATTTCAAATGACAGGCGTTTTGATAGTTATCATTAGCGCTTTAGCTGACTTCGGGCTTCATAGAGAGAAGGAGGAACATCAAATTGAAAAAAGTCGAGAGGGGGGAGGAACAGAAGAGTGTTTCAAAGATGTAAAAGAGACAGACAGCCAAAGGTAGAAAAAAGGTGATGTGAGTACTGTGGAAGAAGTCGTTTAAAGTCAGAAGTCAACTGCCGCTTAATAGACTTTTTTGCCGTATGAGTATACTTTGCCCAGGGTGCACCACGTGGAGGTAAGTCTATCGCACACCCCACTTTAAGAAATTAGAATTATCTTACAAGTTACTGCATTGTTTTCGTGGTCTTAACATAGCAGAACTGAGAAAGCAAGAATCTTTGCTCACTTACCAATGTTTGATTAAATCCCGAATTCATTAAAACACCTAAACCAATGTACATCAAGTTTCCATTCATTAATTATGTATGGGTTGTTACTAGTCTTTATCAATTTCTGTCCACTTCCGAGTTCAAACAAGCCCTGATCGGTTATGTTAAGATCTGAACCCATGAATGCTGCATGAATCGCTTGATCTCAAATTTCTGTAAGTATTTACTACTACCATAAAGATCAAAATTTTTAAATATAAATTGGAAGCAAAGACATTAAATTGATTATATTTTGACGTTTTAACGTTTAACAGCTTTAATGATTAGACTATCCTTTGTTATCACCGACGTTGTTTCAACGATTCCGCAGCCTTGGTCTTCCAGTATTTAAAAATGATGAGTCTGAAACGAGACAATTTACCAGGAATTTACTCTTCCAACTTTGCAGCCCCTTATCTTAATTTAAGAATTCAAATGATGGGCTTTTATGGGCAAAGCTGTTGTCGACTAAAGCAATAAGTACTAATCCATAAGACGCGAGTTGTTTGATGTCTACCCGACGTTGGGTAATAAAATCCGAGATCCTGATCTTGAAATTTTCAGGATCAACACCCTCACGGCACTATTTATGGTCATTCAGCTGAAGGAGCGCGCCTGCTATAATCTAAAATATATGCCAACTATGGTAGGAAATTTAGACCCAGAAGATAAGATTAAGGTTCGACGTATGTTAAAGATTGAAAAGTAGGCCTTTCTAAATTTGTTAAATTTAGCTAAATATGATTGCGTATTTTAGGCCAATGGTTAGTGAATTAGCAAATATTTGAAATGAACTTTCCGATCAAAATATGCACTTTTAAAGTAAATTTTGGTCAATATCTGTCGATCCTCTGTTGGCGATTATCATTAGAAACTCCTTTTGTTTAAATTAGAAGTGTGATTTAGATAAATGGAAATGTGGTGAAAATTTGAGGAATTATCACTGGAATGTAACGATTTAATTAGGTATACTGGGATGAATTTGAAAAGTATTATTCCTAAGGGCCACAAAATAATTTATTATTTTATAGGTAACTTACAATAAGAAACGCAAGCATTTGTGAGTGATGGCAAAAAGCGATACGAAAATGATTCAACGATAAAGCATTCAGGTGTGTGAAAGCATCACGGAAATTAACACTTTAACGCCCCTCAAAATAAGCTTCATTGGTACTAGACTCGTAACAGAAGACGCTATTGAAACGTTTGAAACATGTCGAATACGTCTAGGCCCCTCGCCTGATACCACCAAAACTCATCACGTCGCCGGCATCAATCTGCTGTGAGACACGTTTGAGTGCGGTTGGATGCATATTTCCGCAAAAACAATTCGGGCGTTAAAGGGTTAAGCTACAATCGCAATCGTTCTGTGGTCAATTTAACATCATGACTACAAGAGTAAATAACATGTCCGTCAGTGGCTTTGAACAATAAGCTCTCTTAATTGTAATCCTATCCTAATTTCATACGCTTCCTAAACAAATGCGAACAAAGGAATCTTTTTTCGCACCTTGGCACAAGTTTATATATATTCACTTGAACACCTCCATTTTTCGTTTGATTAGAAGCGCAATGTGAACTTAGCAAGTCACGCCTCCTCCACCTCCTGTTTGCGTTGCATCTTCCGTCTCCTCATTAATTGACGCTTGATTGGACAAGAGCACGATTCAGGAGAGCCACTCTTTGAAGTTATGTTGTAGTGCTCTCTTTACGCACAACCCATAAAACTTCGCCACGCCCATCTCCACCCAACCCCCCTCCCCCGCCCTAGGATATTAGAGAGCGATTTCCTTCAGCGTCTCCGATCGGTTTCCAAATATATACATGCACATATATCTCTCCCTCTGGATCGGATTTTATGCGCAGATGGCAGTCTACTATTTGGAGGGAAGTGGAAAGCACTGGCAAACACTTGGAGCGGTATATTGGCGGCAGCAGAGGCGGCGTTAACAGCTAATTAGAAAGCTGCGCAATTTCCCATCCTCGTTGGGGAGCGACTGAAGGTCAATATTAGAAGTGAACTCTACTCTTTGTTTCAAAAGAGTCCAAGTTTGTGCTCTTGAAAAGTATGGCAGCTACATCGGGGAGTGAGAATTTTGTGACAAAAAAATGGGATATAAGAAAGGTCCACGGTGAAACCACACAGTAGCTAAAGCATCCAATAGTTTCGACACTCATCTCTGGAAACAAATTCACACATCAGACGAATTCAAGCCAAAACTGCGATATGCAAACCAGCTGACTATCACATGCTCATGGCTCGAATGAAAGACATTAAGGCACTTAAATTGTATACTCGATTGCTGCTCCGAGGTTGCCACCAGATAAATGTAAAACTTTAAACAAACCCGCCCTTTGAAATCCCATTCTTCAACTAACAAAATGGCGAATATCGAAACAATTTGACTATTCTCATATGCTCTAAGCGCACAGTAATTCCATCAAAACAATGGCAGTTGCCAACACCGTTAAAAGGGTGCAGAGAAAATAGGCAAATACATGAAAATGTTTACTATTGAACACATGAGCAGAGTACAATACGCATTCATCAAGGTAAGTTCTTAAATGTTGATAACCTGACTGAGCTTTTGAATACGGTTGAGCAGAACGTCACCGTGTTTAATCATAGCCTAAAATAAATGACAAGAATGTGAATAATAGTGAAGGGGGGACTGAAGTCCATGAAAATAAAAGGTCACTGACCTGATACTGGGAATTAACATTATCCGGACGAGTAGTCTCTACAATACCCGTGACCTTATCGATTTTGCAAGCAATGCGGCCATTAGCGATGAATCGAGAGAGTTCCGCATCAAGGAAATTCATGGTGACACCAAAAGTAGCAGCCATGCTTTCAAGGCTGAGACTGCTGTAGGAATCCAAGTGTTGAGTGTAGGCTCGGATACGCATCTCACGAACGTAGTAGCGAGCATGAGCAGCCAGATAGCGATCAGTGTGCATGAACTGCTCAACGCCAGCTGAAACGAAGCGATTAATAACAATTAATAGATTGCGCCCAGGCGAAAGATTTTGAATGTAACTAAAGTGCTTAATAATCCAGTAGAAATGGGCTGTTTCAGCTACAATTGACTAAATAAATAATCCAATTTCCAGCTACGAAGGTAGAAGATAAACAGCCAGTGAAACCAATGAACTAAGCCATTTACTAATGCCCATCTCCAAACCCATTTAAAGGGATTTAGGTGAATGTGAGATTGTGAAAATCCATACGAATCAATTGATGGCTTCTAGTGCTTTCAAAACAGGATTCCATTCTAATGTCATGCAAGAATAGCAGCATTTCGTGGACCTACATCTTCAAACTTTACTCTTCCTCAAATAAATGCGAAATTGACATTAATAAATTCCCATTTCCAACTTGCATTATGAACATGAACTTTTAGCAGACAACTTGTATCAAATGAATTCAATAATATTGCATATAGAGCGACATGATAAACAATTCTAGAAATAGATTCTGAAGAATCTCAAGAGTTCAAAAGACAGCTCAAAGCGTATCGCACCATTCCCGGTTTAAGCAAGTGAATTCTTAAATATTCCACCACAGGCTTCACAAATGCGATAAGATGGTCAACTCTCTTATTGGGAGAACGTCAGAAAAATTCGAGGGCTGGGATTATATGAGGGGAGAAGATTAATATTGAACACATTGAATAGCTGCATAGCAAAAGGCCCACACAATGTAAATATATGGAACTTGAGCTATTAAAGGTAAAACACAGGTCGAAGCATTTTTCAACCAGAAATGTTTTCCTCAGGAAAAAAACAATCAGTTATATATATAACGTACTAGAAACGAAATGCAAGCCAAGACACAGATAATTAAACTCAAATCAAATCAAAATAGCCTAAATATCTTGGGTTGATAAATGGAAGTTGCAGAGACATTGGCATGTGAGGGATGAGGGTAGAGGAAAGGGCATCACCAAGAGAAAAACTGACATTGAAATGGTAAAAGAACACATTAATCAATGTCACATATTTTGAACTGGAAATTGGGAAAATCTCCATTTTGGTAAAAGAAATGCTAAAAATGCCTGAAGTATTTTAATTCTTCTTCGACGGGAATACAGAGGAACACACACTTTCCGTTGATCCAGTAAGAATACCTATTAAGCACAAAAGATCTGAACAAATACGAAATCTGCCAACGAAGATTTGCATGCGTTACAATGTTCAAACGACTTAGTACACATCATTAGCACTGCACTTCTATCTACCAGTCCTAATGCCGGAGACTAGAGGCATATTTTTACTACATTTGGCCATTTAGAGTGCAGGCCGTGCCTACTTTATGGCTTCTTTCTCTTCGCACCCCTTTTTATGGGATAGTAAGATGCTTCGAAGTTTATGATAGAAAGGTCTTTATAGCTTACGACACACCTTCATATCAAATGAAGAGGAAGGAGGAGGAGGAGGAGGAGGAGGGAAGGGGGAGGGGAGGGGAGGATGGGCATAGTGCACAATTAAAAGCACTTATTTATATTCTTCCTTCATTTTATTTAAATGGAATAAATGGAGGGAAATCCAGCAACTGAAAGAACTTGCAGAATGACACTCAGATGGGAAAAGTTGGTGCAATAGCAAAGCAGGCTAGGGTTTATCGGTACATTGAAAAGTAATCAGATTTCAAATAACAGTAGAGTAATTTTAACGAGTATATCAGACACTTTAAGCACTTCAATGTATTGGCAAGATATTTCTTCAGCATACATTTACATTCTATCATAACTTTAATATAATGCAAACGGTCGTGTGTGTGCGTGTGTGTGTCCGAAACCTTCCTATTTAAATTACACGCTCACATCATTTTATGATTACCTACTTTCAAATAATAGAACACGTATGAAAAACTAAATCAAAAAGGAAAGGAGGTATTATTTAACCGACATTGAGTTTCCAAAAATCTAATTCCTTGATAGATTGATCAAGCAATAGGACTTGTTGACTATAATCTCAATATAATATAAGATGCAAAATTTTCAGAATGGGCAAAGTTATTAGTAGACCATGACGTTTGAAAACGATTATTCGAGATTAGATTATCTATCTACTCACGTCGATGCAAATTGCACCAAGAACACATCACAAAAACTCCACATTTTTATCATCTAGAAGCCGATAGGCTAACAAGAAGGAAACACACAAATTAGCCAATTCTGTGTACAGGAGAAAGCGATTCATACAAATTTATATAAACAATTCAAGGGATAAACTTTTTTTTCATTGACACCTGTAGAAAAAAACACCAAATAAAAGGAAAGGAAAGTACTAAATATTCATGTTGTACTTTCACCTTGACAAAGAGCATAGACTTTAAGTGGGAATCTCGAAAAACTTACGTAAGTCCCAGATTGATTATAGGCACAATTTGAAATTCAAATAAAGTTCCATGCTATTTGGATATTTCTACAGTTAGCTACAGCTGAAAACAGGTAGTTACTACTAAATTAAATAATAGGTGATACGACCTTGACTCCACAGCCTTTAATATGCTCGTCTATAAAGTCAAAGTCACAGATTATATAATTATTTAGTGAACAGAATAGACGACGGCATTGATTAAGTCAGATTGCAAACTTATAAGCTTCTCTCATTAGACTCCATGATGCTATACCTCTACTAGAGGTAGGGTTTGGAAAATAGACACATATATTGTTAAAAATAACGACTAGGAAAAAAGACAGACCATATCATTTACAATATAAAACCTTATACCTCTACCCCCTCCACATACCAATAAAATCTATACCTCTGACTACAGATTTCGATTCATATATTTAACTAGCTATAGTTAGTGAGTAGTGGTAGGGAAAATCGAACGCTTTCCCTATCGCGTGCAAAAATTGCTATCAAAGCGTAGAAGTGGTAAAAAGAGAGTACGGAGAGAGAGAGAGAGGGAGAGATAGAGGAAAGTTCCAAACTACGCGTAAGTTGAGTTAGTCCGTAGTGATTAATTACACATAAACGCGTGAAGCAGGCAGGCAGGCAGAGTGAAAGCAAGGCAGAGATGAGAAAAAAATGCGTGAGAAATGAGAAAACAGTATTAGTGGAGGTGAGATAGGGGACTGAAAAAGACAAGAAATAACGGAGAAGATAAGCACTCCTCTCCCTCGTTTTGGAAGTAATGACAGTTTGGAGAAGAGGGGCAAAGGAAGTTGGGAAATAGCTAAGCTAGAAAAGCCTAAATCAGGAGTATGAACAAGAGCACAATCATTTATAGACAAGAGGGTGATAGTGCAAACAAAACCGGAAGTCAGAGAATTAGTTTGCTCAAGAAATAGACACTAATGCCTCTAGCCCTATAACGACTAGACTCGAGCGGCTCCGAATAAGCGGGAAGGTTGTCAATTTAATCAGAACTGTCTTGAATGACAGTTTCGCATCAATATTAAAATTTCATGATTCACCAACATGGATTAGTGAGCAAATTCAGTGCTAACGGACAGATTGTTGAAATATTATGATCAGTTTCGTCATTCAATTTTAGCTAACCTAACCTCGTTACATTAAGACTATTTAAACTGCTTAATATCATGCACGATCGCTCTGAACACAAAAGTAAGTAATGTATATTTAACTCGGATTAATTGGCAAAGATTTGAAAAGTCGGTTTTCATTAAACAAAAAATATTCGCGTATTTTTTCGTTATGGTATTCAAATTGGCAGCCAGTCAAATTGCTCCTAAGATGCGTGAAGTAAATAAATGAATGAAGGGCACGCATGAGTTCACATTTTCATTTCCGCCCGATAATAAAAGAGAATTTCAAAACAGACATGATTTTCCTACCATTGCGCGGGATTTTCAACTGCACTCAGGTTAGGAAAAAGGTATATTTTACTAGGAATTGTGAAATAATGGGCAGTACCAGTTTTCGAAATCTATAGTGAAAATTACTATGCGCTTAACCCATTGAATGGCACGATACGAATAATTTAAATGGCCATAAATGCGAGACAAATGCAAATAACAATCGATAAGATTTTGCATTAACTGAATGAGAAGCCAATGGGGAAAGTGGAATATACCCATTCAACAGTCAATCATGTGAATTCTTGGAAAGTTTAAATTCTTCATGCTTGAAATATTTCAAGACAAATAAGTACCTACCGCTGCTTTCATTATGCTAAAATCTATGGACTATAAGTTTAAGATTAAAAATTGTTAGCATTTCGATCTAGATAAGAAAGTCCCTAATGAGTGAGTTTTTAGCTGAAAAAGAGAAAAAGTTATAGTTCCGGTTCTAATAAGCTTGGTCGTAAAAAAAAAGTTTTTTGTATCATTTGTAAGCCCATAGTCCGAATATGCGAGGGGG